CTCACGCTGTGATCAGCGGCAGCTGGACGCAATAATCGCATGCCAATGTGCATTGGCTCATTTAGTTTACACTCGAAGTAGATTGGTCTCTCTAAGCGAGATCCCAATTCGTCGGTCATCCGACGTGACGTCGAGAGTGACTGACTGAAAGGGAACCAAATTATATGTAATATGTAAATAATATAACTTTCCTCACATTGTCATGATTTCAAGGCACATGAAGTTCCTATATGAAGACTGGAATACTCTTACCTTCAAATTCATGAAGCGCTATTAGCAATAGTGTGGATTTAGTGTGTTAAGGGCACTGAGCGTTGGAATTTCTCAGACCTGGCACATCCTGCACTTCCTGTTGCATGCACATGCTCTCAAGTGGTCAAGGCCCCAAATACGGATATTTAGACAGGCCCACTGGCTCCCTTATGTATGTTTTTAGATCCATTTTAAAAGACCCAGTTCAAAAGAGTTTTGTTTTTGAATCGGAATACTCTGGTCACGTTTTATACTTGTTTTTAGAATTACGTTTCCTGCTCATTTTTCATGGTATGCAGCATTTTATTATATGATGATTTTGCCATGGTGCCATAGATTCAGCAGCAGCAACAGAGTCTCAGAAAAGAAGTCTTTAAGAATACCATTTGTTTGCCAAAAATAATCTCTATCTGTATGCAAATCTTCCCACATCGTGACGTAGATATGTGGGGGCGTGTTAGAACGAGCCGTTTTAGGTAGGCGTGGTTGACTCTTAACTTTTATAAAGAATATCTCTTTGGATTTGAGACTTTAGTCTTTGCAACTTTACAGATCTTCTTTATGCACCAAGAGCTTGTAACACCCCAAAGAGAAAGGAAAAATTGAAATCGCATCATATGACCCCTTTAAACTTCAAAACGCCATTGTTCCAGCTCCTATATATTTATCGAAGTGAAAAAGTACTGCATAGACAAAACTTAATTTCTCTTTTTCTTATCTCTAAATGGTAACTCGTCTACACACTTATAAACAGTGACTTAGGCACCATAGAAATATTAACTTGATATATTGAAATATATAACTGCCTCTGTAGTTAAATAATACAGAACCATTATCAGATTCATTAAATGAGCAAATAATGTGCTCATTCAAATCTTTGGTGTTTGTGTTTTGGTCTTTTTTTTTTTTTTTGATTTGACCATCTGTGATTGTGGCTTAGCCAGGGCTGGTGCTAGCAGTGCAGAGCTCAAAATAGTTTTACTCAAAACACAACAAAATAAAAGAATAAGAAAGTGATTTGCTAGCAATGCAAAGCAAAGTCCATTGCTTTTGCATCAGTGGAGTCAAAGTGTTTCTAGTGTACTTCTTTGAAAGCACACTTGAGAAAAGAGCCATCCGAGGCAAAGAGTTGAACCCCAATGATTGCGTGTGTCTGGACAGATTCTTGGAAAGTAAGTGATCGAGAATCTTGCACAGCATCTTGTAGAAACTCCAACCTGTGATTGATGTGATGTCCTCTTTAACTTTCAGGTTTTTCTTAAAATGAATGTTCCTGGTTAAATATAGCGGTCATTAACTGTAACCTTACAGAACACAGCTGACGCAATCCGACAGGACTCAGGCAGAAATCATGTTCATGGTTGAGCTAATGATTTATTAATGTTGTAGAATGAAGCAGGATGAGGCTGAAAGCCGTCGAAGCAAAACAAGGCCGCTGAACGAGCGCGACACACGGCTCGAAAGCAGCGGAGCTTTTATTATGCCACAGTCGACCGCTTCCGCTCCTTCCGGTCGTGCGTATGTGGGGGGGAAAAAGTAGTGCCGTTTTATCATACTAGATACATTTGAAAGTTCTGTTATAATGCTACTCTGTGCGGTTGTCACCGGTCTAATAAAACGCACAACATATTAAAGCGTCTTTGGTGTTTCCAAGTCTTCTACAAAACAAAACCGGAAATCGAGGGGTTATGACGTCATTGGCAAGCGACACAAAGACACTATAGACACGGCCCACGTCACTAGTTAAAATTGCTTATTTCTCTGGATTTAAACATTCTTCGAAACATTTGGGATAATGTAAGTACACAAGTCAGCAAAATATATAACACTGTTCTAGTGGTTTTTGGATATTTTAATAAAAAAATCGTACATATTGTGCCTTTAAGTCCAAGTCAATGAATTAAAGGGAAAAAAAGTCGATTTCAGTTTTAATGCTGCATAAACTTTTTATATAAAAAGAACATATGGATCAAGTGTTCTTGAATCTTCAAACAGGTTGGTTAAGAATCTAGATATATATAATAGCAATCTTGCCATTAACGTTATATGTTCCTCTTACTGGGATATGCTGTCTCAAGAAAGCAGGGCTTCGATTAACTATAAATGAATGTAAATGGTTATTTCTGTTTAAAAATTGACTTTACCTTAAACCTAGACAAAGATTTGTGACAACTAGCCTGGGTCCACCTTCTCCCCGAACTCGCCTCATTTTCATGTTGCTGGCAGAAGTTGGCCCAGTCCTGAGGATAGATAAGAGTTTGGGAGTACCGGATTCACATCTCCTCGCCGTGTTGAGGTGATCTTTGGTGAATTACACGCAGTCACCGCAAAGTTGACAGTCCAGACAGTAGAAGCCCGCGGGGTTCCCATCATCACATGAGGTGCACTGTGGGTTGGAAGAGTTTTCTCCATTTTTTTGCAGCCACAACCGCATCCAGCAATCCACTGAGAAGCAGATCTGTGGAGGAAAAAAGCGCCCACTCCAGCCGCAAACATGAGCAGCGATTGTTCGCATGTGGGGCACCGGAGGTTGAGAGGATGTTGATGATGGAGAACAGCAGGGGCTGCCGTGAAGTCTGGAGGTCCGAGTCGGAGAATGCACCACCTTAAACTTCCAAGGAGCCATTACTGCCTTATTTTCAACACAGGACTTGCTAGTTAAGTTTTTGGAAAAATACAATAAAAAAAAATGTATTTTAATTTTAGTCCTGGGTGTTTATGCATTTTCTTGCACCAGTAAAAGAATGTTTGCGTTAATTGTTATTTATGGCCAATAATACAATATTAAGAGCATATATGAAAACATTGGGATTGATATAACTATCTGGATACTTTTAATGTAAAATTTCTTACCCAAGAATAAAAGCGAGGCAAAAATGATTTTTTTTTTGTATTGGTTATCCGTTTTTGAATCAACAAAATAAGAGAAATTAATTTTATACAGATAAACAAATTGTGTAAATCTTAAAATATTGTTAATTTTAAGCATATTCTTAAATCTTATGTTGTCCGCTATAGTTGAATTTTTTAACACTGCTTAAATGTAAAATTTTTGCTTATTAAGCTACAAAAAAATCTCTTAGGACAACTCACATAGTCCTTCAAAATGTGAGTTATTTTCCAGTAATTGGATTTACATTCCATTTTCAAAGATCTTTCAAAAAAACAAATGTTTCTTATTTATTGGCTGTACATATTTAAGAGCCATTTTTTACCAAATCAGTGTCAACAGTGAAAAGAAAACTTCTCCTGGTCCAAACAGACTTCCATTGGCCATGACTAAATATAGGGGTCAAAGTGTCATACATACAGCAATGTATTCTCATTTCTAAAGACAGATATGCATAGAAATGGCCCTTGAAAAACAAGAACATTGTGCTGTCTCCCTGTGGACAAAATACAATAAAAAGTAGACTTCAGATTGGTATTGATTTTACATTTTTTTTATTTTCAGTTAAACTGAACGAACTGAAATGCGCACACTGCAGAACTAGACAAAATTGTATCCAATGATGGAATGTCTTTCATATGAATGTACATAAGTGCCTTTCAGAACTACCATGTGTACCATATGTTTTTGCAGTTTAATCACCAAATGAATTGGACAATTTCTTATTGGTAAGGCAAATGGTAACAGTGAAAGTAACTGTTGAATCTTTATCAAAGCCTTTAGTAGAAAAAAATGGAGAGTTTCAAAAATGCAAAACTATTTTAGACTTTTTTTAATAAAAAAACAACACTTGGGGCAACAGTTATTTTCTGGTTGTTGCTGTTAATGTTTTTTTTCTTTCCACATGAACGACTTAAGTTTGCAGATTCCGATGTAAATCTTTGGAAGTTGAAATTGTTAAGAACATGAAACTAAATATTACAAAACCTTTCTTTTTACAACTCAAAACTAAGCAGTCTTGTCCTTCAATAATGTTTTAAAGAAATATATAAAACAAACACCACAAAAAATTGTGCAAACAGTTTCGAGAAGTCCCAGTTTCAACAGTCTGTAACATATAAATTAACCTTTGATTAGACCGAGACATTTGTTACTTTTGGGACTGTTCACAAGCATGTGTGTGTGTGTGTGTGTGTGTGTGTGTGTATGCTAGCTTGCCCAAATCTCTCGTGCCCACCGCTCGTTCTGCAAAAACCATTTGTGGGCAGATGCATGGTCCAGGTGAAAGAATTGTTCTTGGCTTTTATTGACAGCTGTGTAGCGGATGCTCAATTTGGGGTTTGGTATGAGAGCCGCAGAGAGAAGCCGACAACCAGCCGCCAAGTACACACTCTCCGTTACATCCTCAATATCGGCATGCCTAAACCAAACAACTCACATACTCACAAATCATGACTAAACAATATTAAAGTGTTCGCAAGCTCATTTGTCTATTATACACACTTACCGTCTGAGTGTAATGAGAAGTGGTTGGAAGGCTCCAGAAGGGGCCAGTAGTTTAGTATTAATAAAGGTGATGAACATCTCGAAGGCCATCGTCATCTCTATTTCACTGAGATTACATGGCAGAAACAGAGAGTCTCTTTCACACACCACTGCAGCGTAAAACCCTGCTGACTGAGCACCTGGAACACACACAAACAGTATATAGGATATTCTGTGTGTTGGTGTCATGCTGGGCAATACAATGCTACATCAAAAACATCTCACATTTTACAAATAAAATTAGGTAAAAAAATAAATAATGAACTTACTGACAGTTGGACACAACATGTGACTCAACAACTGTAAACAGTTCACTAAAAATGACTCTTGTATGATCAGTTCAGGTGACGCAACAGCAACTGTTCATTTCGAGATGTTGTGAAGTTATCTTACTCACGTTTAAAAAGGGCCCTGGCACGGCTCCAGTTGTTCTGTTTGCCCAGTTTATGGATGAGGTTCTGTTGCTGGAGGGTTTCAGGCACCATACCATGTATTAGCATGAACTCAAGGATATCTGCAGCGACTGGTAATGTCTGCTTTACCAAGCACAGACGCAGATGAGCATTGAATGTTTCAGCATAGTCGTTTATCTGCACACCATCTGAAAAAGTGAATTCAAGTTGAATTCATATGCAACAATTAAATTCAATCAATTAGTCAGCATATTAAGAAATGAATGTGACCGACAGTACTAATTGTAATAGACTAAACTACAATGACTAATGTTTCTGAGGTAAAAACATACATGCATAAACATCCTTGCTGGATAAAAGTTAATTTCTCTGAAAACAAATAACTAAAAATCTTACTTTTAAATGGTAGTGTATATATTTTTGTTTGTGGAAAAGTCTGTGGTGTTTTGTAAGAAATTAATACTTTTTTTTTAGCAAACATGCATTAAATTGAACAAAAGTAACATTAAAAACATATATATAAAATTTGTAAATATATATATAAAACATAAAACTACCAAATTTTGCTTAATCTCAATCGCAAAGTTTACTCGCAACATATAATCATTGCAGTTAACAGTGTTCACCATCTGTTTGATTACGTGTAATTTGTAACTATCTGCACGATTTTTACTGTACATTTCTGCCATAGTCACCACTAAAAACCTACTACAAAATATAATGTAGAAACTTATTTTCTGTAAAGCTGCTTTGCAACGATTTGTATCATGAAAAGCACTATACAAATAAACTTGAATTGAAAATAAATACTGTTAGAAATAGGATAGAAAAAAGTTAATACATTTTAAAACATTTTACTGTAATTAAATGCAACTTTGGCTAGCATAAAAAATTCTTAAACACCAAAAAAAAAAATTCTGATCCCAAACTTTTGAACGGAAGTATATCGCAATGAGAGATGATGATTATCAATAACTCACTTATCGGTTGTCTGATTCCAGGTAAGTTGGTAATAATCTCAAAGGCGTCTCTGTGTGACGTCTTCTCAGCTAAGAGCGTCAGGACATGTTTTCGATTTTCGATGTCAGCCTGCTCACAAGGCCACATGCTGGAGCTCACAAACCAGCCATCAGCTGAAGGAACAGAAACACATACACAAATGATTCCTTATTTACTGATTCTGAACAGCATACACAAAATCTCCCCTTTACCTCTCAGCATTTTCAAAGCTCCCTCAAAGCTCCCGCTATGGAGGAAGAACTCCGTTGCCATAGTGACCAGCTGACAGCGAGACACCCTGTTCTCATTCCCCATAAGCCCTTTCAGAGTGATGAACTCAATGTGCAGTCTGAACATCACACTGACCAGCTTCACTCCCTGAGCACATGCAAGACATACAGTACACACAGCAGTCAGTCAAAGGTTCACTGCTGTACAGAACGCTTCCACAAACAGGACACACTCCCACCTTATTCCAATCTCGTGTCCTGTGGTACCTGAAGATCAGAGAGACTCCAATTCTCCCCAGGATGGTTTTTATCATGTCATTGGACAAGACTTGCTGACATACTGACAGAAACAGACATGACAATCCACTTAACACACATTAAAACCTATGACAATTCATGTAAAAGAAACTGACTATATGTAAACAACTTTAGGTTTTATTTATTTTAATAATTTTTTCTATTATTATTTATTAATAACCTTGGCACACCCTGATGTAAAGGCCTATACTTAAAACACTTAAAATAAGTATGGTAGACAAATTAAAGCCTACAGTACTGTTCAAAAGTTTGGGGTCAGAACGTTTTTGTTTTTTTTAATAAAGAAATTAATACTTTTATTCAGTAGGACTGTAATAAATAGTTCAAAAGTGACAGTATTAGACATTTATAAAGTTTAAAAGATCTTTCTTTTAAATAAATGCTGTTCTTTTGAGCTTTCTATTCATCAACAAATCCTGAAAAATATATCCGTTTCCACACAAAAAAAAGTGTGTAAAACTCTTTTCAACATTGATCACGTGATACTGAATAAATTACATTTTTAAAATACAGTAGTCAACATTTGAAGTGGATCAAAAAAGTTAATCAAAGTTGTCCTAAGACCAGAACCATTTTGGTTTTGGGTTTTAAGACAACTTTGATGAAAGGTTTTGATCCACTTCAAATGTTGAGTATAGGGTACATTTTAAATGCAGCTGCTATTTTAAAGGGGTGGTTCATTGCGATTTCACTTTTTTAACGTTAGTTAGTGTGTAATGTTGCTGTTTGAGCATAAACGATATCTGCAAAGTTACGAAGCTGAAAGATCAATGCAAACGGAGATATCGTCTTTTAAAATTCTGGCAGTTTAATGCCTACAAAAACGGCTGGTAGGGACTACAACGAGTTACTTCCCGGGTTCGTGACATCACAAACCCAGATAAACCCAGCCCTCGGGAAAAGGCAGCAAAGGGGGCGAGGCCATACTGCGATTCTGTCTTCTAACGATTCTAGTGGATTCACAAGTTTCAAAATTAATGTTCTAAAGTAGCGGTTCTTAATACTGTTCCTCGCGTCCCCCTGCTCTGCATCGCTCTCTCTCTCTCATTCAGCTCAGCTCTGACAATGAACTGTTCCATTTATACACTTAGACGCGCACTAGAGGCGGTTTAGCCAATCACAACACACTGGGCTAGCTAACCAATCAGAGCCCATCGCCTATTTCTGAGGGAGGGGCTTCATAAAAGGAGGAAATGATCAGCGTGTTTCTCAGAGAAGGGACAGAGCGCTGTGGAATAAAGGTAAATGTGAAAAATAGTTTTTAAAAAAACGAAGCATTAACATGTTAGACTACACCCCATAAACACAATGAAGCCTAGAAAAAAAACACTGAACCACCCCTTTAAATTGTAATGACATTTCAAATATGTTTTTAATGTTTTTTGTTTAAATAAATGCAGACTTTTAAATGTAAATGTACTCTTTTTAAAAGTTTTTTTTAAATGTACTGTAGTATGTGTGTGTTTTTTTCCCTCCACTTCCTCACATGTACAATTTATCAGTATTATTATATTGATAATCTTTTCCTATTTTTCAATATGTGAAATATTTGTCCAAGAAAAATATTCTAGATTTGTATGTTCTGAGGGGACCTTGAACCTTTTATGGACTTGAAAGTCACACGTCGATTAACCGGTGGGAAAATTTCCTCACCGTCACAACCCTACTTGAAAGTACCATTACCAAATATTTTCCTGAAGATTTATTTAATTTTTTATTTATTAATTAATTTCCCCCTCTCCTCCGAGACTATTGGAAGAGTAACCCGATATTAAGTTAACTGTATATGAACAACATAACTGTATGTGATACGCCTAGTGACCTGTGTTGTGTTCTTTTGCATGTGTTCTAGGGTTGTAACGATATACCGGTGTGACGGTTTATCACGGTTTGAACGTTCACGGTTATCATACCGTAAACATTTGCATAGCTACGGTTTAAAAAAAATGAATGAAAAAAAATCTCACATGCAACTTATTTTCGCTCTGCTGCTTCACTCTGCATTCACTTGGCTGTTTAACTTTACACGGAGAAAATGACAGAGATAATATCTAATCTCCATCCCCGCCGAAAAAAAAAAGTTAATATCTGCAGTATGGGAATACTACAGATACTTAAAAAAACGAACGCGGGGTTGTCCTTGAGGACGGATCCAATTTGCAAAAAATGTGGACGCAAAGTGGCTGCAAAAGCAGGCAATACATCCAACATATTCGCGAGGACACCAACCCTCCGTGCAGATGAAGGTGTGTCGCATTAATAACAAGTTAAGTCTGTATGATTTCCGTGAAGCAGAGGGAATCCCAGTGCAGTCGTGAACATGGAATTTACAGTATAACGAGGATGTCGGATGGATGGATAAATCGAAAGTAGTTATGATATGTGTCTGTGAATATTAAAGCGCAAAGATGTGAATATTAATGCGCAAAGAGACTGCTATATGAATAATCTGCTTGTTTCTGCATGTCTCTGAGTGGCGCCGCTTTATCTACTGCATACTGAAGTACGCATACATAAATGGTGTTTTCAGCGTCTAAGTTACATAAACACGAACATCAGCAGAGCTGCTCTGAGAGAAAACAAACATTTCCTAGTATTATTTGAGAAAAACCATTATCAAATACTAGGGCTGAACGATTTTGGAAAATAATCTAATTGCGATTTTTAACTGATGTTCTTGTTCTATTTATGCCTTGTTCTATTTATGACGTACTGACACAAAGTTCAAATGATTTGCAACGGTTGCTTTGTCACGTCAGTGTAGAGCTGTTGCGGCGCGACGCAACAACTGTAGCGTCTAGTATAGACACGGTGAGTGAAGCCGAGAGCAAGATATGCCTCGTCATATTTTCTGCATTTAGCTTTTGAATGACCAGCACCTGCTTGGGTCTGTGCGACTTCATCTATGGCTTTTCTCTTCCCTTTCACAAACCAATCCATCTCCCGTTCTAAGTTACGTCCTTTGGCTGTTTACCGTTTTATTTTATTTTCTTTTTCTGCTGATGGCCGGCGCTCGACTTGAAGCAGCGCTGCTTAGATCGATGGGTGTGTCATCAAAGTACTGCGAGAGCTATAAGAGAGCGCGGACGTCTCCTTATGCTTTCTCTCGCCGTACTTTGATGTCATACACCGATCGATCTTCAAGTGGAACACACCTCTTCACTCTCGCGTGTCACGTGACCGAGTGTAATCGCGTTTTCTCATACCGCGATATTATCGCAAATGCAATTAATTGTTCAGCCCTATCAAATACACTCTGAAACTCAAAGGTCCGCTACAACCCGTCAAAATAAACGTTCGATTTAATTTGAAATTATGGCAGAAATATATTAGCATTGTACAATGTACTTCAAAGTTATAATAACAATAATAATATTCTTTATAATAAAATAATTTATTTAAACATTGTTTTCAAGGAATATCATGTTTTATGAATACCATGTTTTAACTTTGCCAAAAATAGAGTTTGCAAATACAAAAGAGTTGTAAATTTTCATTTAAAAACATTTAAAAACATTAATTAAAATGTTAAAGTGTGATATAGATATACATAAGTGTACAGCTTTATTTATTTTTTAATTTTTTTTATTAATTAAAAAAAAAATGTCAGAAGGGAGACTTCAATACTTTCATTAAAATGGTTTCAAGATTGTTGTAATAAAGGATTTGCTTACTCAAATAACTTGTTCTTGTTCTTTTAGGAGTCATTGTTACTGATAAGAATTAGTTTAATATATACCGTGATAACCGTGAAATTTTCCGAGACGATTATCATACCGTGAAAATCTCATAGTTACAACCCTAATGTGTTCCACTAAGAACATAAAAAAATAAAAAGGTTTTTAAAAAATCTTTCTAACTTTTGAGTGCTACTGTACATATGAATTACTTCACAATGTGTACCTGATTCAGCAAACAGCTCATACGGTAGGGTGAGTTTGCCTTTGGGCTCCTTCAGCAGTGCCATGGTAACGCAGCAACAAAACCTGAGAAGTTCCATTTGACTGTGTGACCCAACACAAACATTGCAGAATACTAGAGCCAGTCCAGCCCAGTCTTCCTGATGCTTCAGCATCTGGCCACACACACACACACACACAAATTATACTGAAAATAATGGCATTTTTATGTTAATGGCAGTATATAGAAATGAAAATGGAGCAAAAAGTGTGTATACGTCTACAGAAGTATTATGGAAAATGAAGTAGTGATCTTACCTCAACTCTAACAACAGCCTGGGCCAGATCTGACAGCTCAGAGGTATGGGGATTAGTTACCAGAGCTCTACAAATATAACAACATGTTTGTGTGACATCATATGATGATTTCACTGTAATGTAATAAGATAAAACAACAAAGTGCAATAATGCAAATGCTCTGCTGTGGGAGGGTGCATACCTGCATTTAACAGCAAGGAAAATGTCCATCTGCTGTCTAGGAACCTGCATCATTTGGAGATGATTCTGCATGACCTCACACTGATCCACACTGAATACACATCCTGCCTCGACAATCTAAACATACAAGCACACATTAAATGGACGTTAAAGCTAATCTGAAATAAGATGCAATAGGGCACCATATCTTAACTCCATATATATAATACTGTGATCTGATGCTTTGAATGTGAGCATTACCTTTGAAGTGAGGTGAATGAGCTCAGGTACAGAGTTAATCAGCCCTCTTTCCATCACAAGTTTAAAAACACCTAACATAATCTCAGGTGGAGGCTGACATAAGAAAAAAAAAAAGTATTATATATCTAAAATTAAATTCCAAAAAAGCAAATGATTCCAAGCAACCACACTCACCAGCCTCTTGTGTTTGAGAAGCAAGTTAATGACTGCCTCAAATTCTCTCAGCAAACAAAAATTAAGGAGAGACGACAGCAGAGAATTGACAATCTCCTCGCTGAAACTCACGCTGTGAGAACAACTGCTGTAATATCCCATAAACACCTCCACTTCACATAGGAAGACAGACAGAAAAGACATTCAGTCAACCTGGGATTATTCATCAGCATAATTGCTTTAATAAAGTCCCGTTACCTGCTCGTAGAATAAGAGCATGTTTCCCAGTATGACAGAACTTCTTCACTGTATCAATGCAGAACTGAAACATAAAAAACAAGCCTCAAGACAATCATAGCCTACAAACACATAACTCAGGCGCAACTTGCACTCGTACAAAAAAAAAAAACACTGAACCAGAATGACATTATAACACACACCTTTTCATCTCCATCTCTTGGTACGTGCGGGAACCAACAGACACTTCGCATGCAGGAGTTATATTCACTAAAGTAGAACCAACAATACTGAAGACACAGAGACATCTATTATGTAGATAATCCATTCAAAAGCAGTAAAGTCATGGTAGAATGAATAGAATAGCTCTCTCATCTATCCATGTCGCAGATGGAGTATACTCACATTACTGTTTAAAGTTCTCAAAGTGGAAGTCTCTTTTGGAGTCACTTCATACCCTTGGACATAAAACAGAATGTGACAGTTTTGCTTAGATTAATTATTTGAACACATACATACACTCAATTCTTAAGCGAAATTAAATACATTTCAGGTAGATTAATCTCAGATTTTCTATATTTAAAGTGCCACAGAACCAGTTGATGTTTGTTTTGGACCTACCGTTACTGCATGTGTCCATCACAAGTCTTGATTCTCTTGTGTTTGTTACTGCAATACCATTTGTTTGTCTCATCTCTTGGTTGTTATTGCAGTCTGTGGCATTCTGCAAGAAGAAGATATCAACCCCTCAGCTCATCACAATGTGTTCAGAACAAAAAAAAATCATATAATTGTAAAAAAAAAAAAAAAAGAAAGCAGAGTTTAATTTCTGTGCCAATAGCAGCAACAAACAGATTTCCCATAAAATCTTACAGGCCCTTTTGGCCGAGAAGAAACCACATTTAATATGGGAACATAATGGCCAAATAAAAAGCACATTAAATTATCAGAATGCAGTTAAATTGTCAGTAGGGATGCACCGATACCGGTATCGGGCCCGATACTGAGCTCCTGTACTCGTACTCGTTAAAATACCCCGATACCAAACGCCGATACCACACAGCATGTGATAAGTGCCATATTCAGACAAAGAAACACCAACAACAGACAGCAGAATGGAGTTATTGGAGATTAAGGATGTCTACAAAGTATATGTATGCAATGAATATATATTGCTACCAAAAATGATTCAGAGACCAGATATAATTTTTGATTTTTTTTTTTTTACTGTTGGGTGCAGGACACTATAGTTTACATATATACATTTATGTAAGTGAGGATAGCAAAATAAAGTAAACTGGGACAAATTATACCCAAAAATTCTTCATACAGTGGACTACCAGTAAAACGTCTCAGGGT